TAGACCTTCATCTAGCAATGGGTCCCCATTACTCAAGAAATTGCTTTAAAACATGGTCGAGGATATATGTACACACATATAGACGGGATGTCTGGAGAACTTACGATTCCACACTAGGACTAGAAGAATACGAAGGATGTTTAGACAATCGAAAGAGTTAAAATACTTCAGGAAACCTCAGGTCTAGGGAAATTTGTTTATCACGGATTATTGTAAATTACAAAATGACTTAAAACTCTTTAAATTTAGACGTGTCGATTTCCCTATTCGTCCATGATGTTGAATTCGTCATAAAGTGATTTCGGATAAAGACCGAGCCGTAAAGCTGCCAAAAGGGAAGGGAACAAGAGAAGGACTGAAAAAAAGAAAAAAAGAGAAAAATGAAAACGTCGGAGTAAGGAAAATGGCTGTTTAATAGAAGGACCAGGCGATTATTGGGCGCGATTTTTCTTTTTCGTTTTCGACATAATCCCTTCCTATTAGTACTAGAAACTAAAATATGCTTGGAAATAATTCTTATTCAATTTGAGTGTTTTTCATCATACCTACACTCCGACTAATTATTTCAATTGTTCGGAAATAGAATTCAAAGCACAATACACCTGCATTGCGAGAACTTGGAAACCGTTTAATTGCCATATGGAAAAACTTAATTATCTCAAATGAATTCGTTCAAATTCTTCATTTTTTCTAAATTCTTCCCATGTGGTAAAACTTCCTTAATAAAATCGACATTAAAGCACGAGCAGATTGAAGAAGTCGATAGAGATTTCGAGGGGTAATATGAACGATGAGCGATAGTAGGCGACAGGTAGCGACGTTGAGCGAGAGCAGTCGACTGGGAGCGATCAGAGGCTACAGTAAGCGGCGATTAGTTACAATATGTGGCAAGGAGCGCTAGCTAAGAGTCGCAGGCGACATAGCGACCGTAAGGTCAGAGTTAGCGACAGTCGCGTCTAGTGAGCGGCGAGAAGCGACACTGAGCGATATTCAGGGATAAAACATATAGCCACTACGTCGCGAAGAAAGCATTCCCGGTGTACTGATCAGAAAAGGTGTGGTGAGAACGACGTCATACGGGACCAGGTGTTACTGATTGGCTTCACAAGTAAACGAAGTCAATCTGACGGCTATAATGAACTATTTCTTAGGGGCATATGTAGATATCCAAGGAGCTATGAGCACAACACGGCACAGAAGCAGCACAGAATAGCCAAAGAATAGCCAATCAAATGCACAAAACACCTGGACTACATACTTCATACATATTTTTTACCATATTTATCATATGCTATACTACGAAACACTTTACTTTTTTGATTATGTATTACTTCTTATTATATAAAAGTTTTATTACTTGAAACAACCAAAAAAGGTTTGAAGAGCAACCAACCTACTCTTGCACTCAGATGAACAACCGGTGTGTATGGCATTCGAATGAAGCGACAGCCGTCCCAGAGACAATTCCGTGACGCATGCTGCATACAAATTACTGACTGGTTGGAACAGCAAGCCTTGAAAGCGTGGAGAGTCTTAATTGGTCAACAGGAAGGAGGAAAGCAAAGAGCAAACCTCGATATTCCCTGCCTCAAAGCTCAAAACACAACGGCCATCGATCCAATCAATAGACGGTTCATCTTTGGCACCAGACAGGACAGCGTGGATGGGTAGGGGAGCATGTTGGTCAAAGAAAAGACCACCATCCAGGGAGATCACAATTCAGGGACACCGGACCTGGATCAGACTGTAACAGTAACCAAGTGACTGTGGAAATCCCACGAACCAGTCACTGAATCGATTTCTTCTCATTTTATCGTGAAGCGAAGGATATACGAGTATTAAACGATAAACAATAAACAGTAAACAAAACGAAATAAGTGCCAGTATTTGAGGTAAATAGTTTTCCAATATTTTGAATATTAACCTTTCTACCCAGTCGGGGTCTTACCAACAAAATGAAGGGATTATTCTCATCTTCCCAGAACAAAAATTATTGTTACCACCATGCGAATCACGCTAAGGTACCCACATTTTTCTGCCGTATTCGCAAGAATTGGGGGACGTTGACAAATATAGCTCGATTTTTACTTTGTACCTATTATCTAAGCACTTCGGTAAAGAGGAAGGTAAAAGATGGCAGGGGTGTGCGAGAAGACGGGTGATGAGTCGATAGGGTAACGAGCATCAGAGAGAATCCAGGAAAATCCGTTCTCAGAGCTAAAAGAGATGGCTGGAAATTGAAAAAAACGAAAGCTCCATTAGGACTGCACACCAGATTGGCTGCAGAAGCGAATTCCTCAGCTTTGAAGCAATCAGCGTACTCCGTTAACAAGAAGATTCGCAAAATGGTAGTCGAAAATGTGGGTAACCGTTTTGCAGAAGTCAAATATCATGGGCGCTTCTCAAACAAGGCCAAGCTTCTTGGAAGGACGTAAGGGGGAGGAGGAGGGAAGAGCAGTGGAGTTGAAGATGGGGATTTGTCTTTGTTGTGTTTATGTATGGAGATGGGCAGAAGTGGTGTAGTGGAAAATGGCGCACTGATCCCTGATCGATACTCACCCAGGCCAACCAAGCCTTCTATCCCGTCGTGGTTATTCATTGGTACGAGACTCGTCTGGGAGGATAAAAATACTGACTCGCACACCGGCCAACACCACCACAAGTATGGGCCACAGACGCATCCAAATTGACACTTCCTCCCAGTGAGAGTCAGAGTGTGGTGGAGCTCTTCATCCTTATCGACTTCACTGTAAGGGAACGTTAGAGGAAGTTCCATGAAGACATACTCCTACGTGCATAGGAGGTTGCTGTCTGAGCTACGGTTCAGAGAGAATCACCTTCGAAACTCAAAAATGAAGGCTTCAAGAAGGCTGCAGGCTAAAGTTCTCGATGGCTTCGATAGGGGTCGAACGGCTCAAAGACTGATATCCCGTTTGCAAGCTCCATGAGGTCGGTGTTTGCATGAAGAACCCTGACAGTCCACCTTCTTGAAAAGGAATGCTTGGCAAGACCAACTCTGCATTTCTTCTGTTCGGGGTCGGTTGACTGGTTCAGGATTCGTCTGGGACTGCATCATTTATCAGACCCAAAGAGAAGACTGGGTAGGAAAGAGAATCGCCCACATATAAGTCTACCGGAAAAATCGTGGCATCGCGTGGAAGTTTCTGGGTTTCTGGTAAATATCAGATTTTGAGAGAAACCCCAGATGATTGGATAAAATGATTTCCGATCTGTTGGAGACGCATATGCAGCCAATTATAGAAATATGAAGCAAACAACAACGTAGCAGGTTATTTATGGGAATAATCTCTGATGCCTTTCAGCAGTCAGGAAAACACTGACAGCACCACACGCACACAGACACACTGCATTAGGAAGCCGGTGACAGCCCGTCACGCCATAACGAACCTCGTGCAAGCTATTGAGAAAGTGCAAAACTTCTGTGCTGAAAGCCTCTGTCGAGGGTCGTTTGTTCGGGCGAAGATTCACTCAGCTGACGTTGACCACATCGTAAACAGATTCTTAGTACACTTGCAAGGATTGAATTGGAAAGAAACGACGACGGGACAAAGGAAGTGACGTGGAAAGGATAAGGATGAAGAAGGGAAAATGGCCGAATTACGAGGGGAACGAATAATTCAAAGTATAAAACTCCCTCTTCTTTTAGATTGAACAAAGCATCTGGCTCTTATTTGAAATCTTGAAACATCTGAAACGTATCCGACTTATACGAGGGTGGGCAGTGACCAGCCAGAATGACAGGATTGGTACCAATAGTCCTCTTCCAGATGGAAGAGTTGATTGTTCTCACAGAGGATTTGATCCACTGATCAAAGGTGCGATAGCAAGGACTACTGCCTCTTGACAATGCACTCCAATGCCTAAATTAAACCTTCCTAAAAAAAAGTTTAGAGTTCTTTTAGAAAATCGATAATATTCCCTACCATATATTCCTTCAGAGCGCATATTTCGCTTCATTGCTTCAGTCCTAAGCAGAGGGGATCGAAACCTGAGTGAAATCGAACTTTTTCATCTACTGGTAACAGATTGATGATCATTCCGGAATGAGAGCATTATCGAGTTGCCGAAGAAGGAAATGGGAATACTTCATCAATGCGTAGCCATCCAATGTCTTAATTACTCGCGAGTTCAGCCATCGCTCCCGTATCAAAGCGAGGTTTTCTTACTGAGTCTGGGTGTTTATGTACTGTACTATTGAGTACTGTGCTTACCAAAATTAATAATTATTACAAAAATCTGCTTTACAAGAGCGGATTAAAATCGTACCTTCGTGTATGAATATCGCAAAATCTTCGGACTCAGTAGGGCAACTAATTGACTTATGTTCAGGTGAAGGAGGGCGTAGGGATAGCAGTGGCGCCGTATACACAAAAGAACTGAGTAACACTGACTATAAACTGAACTGAGGACAAGGAGGAGAAATGGCAAGAAGCTAAAGTCCCTACTTTATTACCGGATTTTGATTTTTGTGTTTGAGCTGTGATGTACTCATCAAATGAATCCAGACAGCAGCTGGATGTGGAGGTGAACCCAGGGAGTGGTGTGAGCAGGGACATTTTCCGCTACATGGTACTGGACCCTCAGAAAGACTCTACTTAACTTATTCGAATAAACAAATATGAGTTTACATCCCCTAGCGGTTACCATGTATGGCCCCTATATGTACGATACATGGAAGAAGTATCATTTGACATAGAAGACAAAAGTGGATGAAAAAAAGAGAACAAAAAAACAAAAAAAAGGACAAAAAACTCAAAATTGATCTAATTCCTGCTTAAATTATCTCCAATTTAATTCACAGAGTTACATTAATTTCCAACGATAGAAGAAAAGTCAATTACAAAAAGCAGCGAAATTGAGCAGGTGGTTAAAAATAACAGCGGGGACTGTTGTCAACAGAAATTATTACTTATTTCCATCAAACACTATTTTTAAAACATTTATTCCGACAAATACATTGTAAAAACTGAGATTTATACATGTTGAGCACGACGTCGTTGTTCGGCAATGAAGTCTCTGCCACCACCACCGGTTGCCACCTGAATACACAATACTGTATCACCTTCGTCAGAAGCATCCTCACCTTCTAATCTTCCAAATACTCTGCTTTCCCATAAATAGGATCATTTTTTCAATAAATAAATGAATAAATAAATAAATTCCATGCTATCAATAGTACATTTGAATAAACGGTTAATGTAGCCTAAACAAACAAATTTCCTATTCAGAGAGAAAAGATTTGAATGTATGTACCAATTGGTCATCATTTTTGCAGTGGAGCCTCGTTGACTCAGTTGGAGAGCACCAGGCTCTATCCAAAGCTCAGAAGTTCGGCTCCCGAACGGAGGGAAAGTCTCGGGTTAGTTATTTTAGCTTTAATAGATATAGAAAAGGGCGAGCGGGTCTCGTCAGTATAGGAGTTAAACTGCGCGGTGCTCAGATGGCACAAGTAGGGATTGCGACCCATCTAAGGATGAAGTTTTCTACATAGCTCGCCAACCTTGTGAGATAGAGAGACTAACCTCAGCTTATTAGCCCTACACGCCTTAATTAGTCAGCAGGATAGCGATCTGTTTTAGAAAGTACATATTCTCTATTGCGAACAGAGGAAATAGCGGTTTCGATAACCTAGTGACCAAGTAAATTACCCGGTTTGTAACGGTGCCGGCCAGCTCCCGTCCAATGCGATTTCCTTCATCATAATTGAGTGCTACTCAGAAATAGCATTCAAAAGCAAAACCTGGTTTGAAAAGGAAAAACTCAAATAGTGTTGTTTACAATGCCTTTGTTTCTGTTTCATTTTTTATCGTTTTCAAAAAAAGAGTAAGACATTTGCGTCCTTCATAAGTTATCTACAATTTATTTCCCTCATTTGTATCCCAAGCTCCATCTCACACAGTTTTCAATAAAAAGAATATATGTATAACCAGTTGCATCTTTGTTTTAGCTTTTCTCAGTTTTCTCCTCTCTTGGTTTTGCCATTTCAGAAAAAAACTTTTATAACAAATTTCCTACAAAAGCAAAAATTAAATCAATCTAAGAGAAAATGTAACACCGCTCGTTCTACTCTCTTTGAAAAGAATTCTGCAGTCAGAAAAAAATACATATGAATGTTCCGCGAAATTGAATTCCAATTACCTACTACTGTGTCGAATCAAAACTAGTCTACTTGCTGAAGCAGTACTTGGTAATACATAAAAAGGTAAAGTTGTATAACTTTGGAATTTGGAAGAGGCTCCTTCCGCTTCAATGCTAAGTCATTAAAAATGCATCACTTACTAAATGGATTATAGTGTTTATTTTTAGATAATTCTTTCGATTAATTTTCTCCTCATCTTCATTCATGTATTTGTTACAGCAGGTGAACCAACCNAACCAACCTCGTTGTTTTTCCAAGAAAGAAACTTCAAATAGCAGTCAAATCCATAGGCACACATTGCTCCAAATGCGAAAAACTGAAACGTAATCAAGATAACATCAATTGTTCACACGCTAAAGATAACTCAGCAAAATTTTTACTCAAATTGGTCAATTATTTTTCGTGGGTTGAGAAAATACTTTTGAGAGCGCTGCAGAATTTGTCAAAAGCATGGGATCGAGGATATGGGGACGCCTTCACGGATGGTTTCATCCTCTTAGCAGATGAACATCACTTAGAACAGTACCGATCTCAAAGCTTCTGCTACTCCTAACAAATATGGAAAAATTCTAATACAGCTGAGAAGTTACAGAACTACCGTCATTGGATCGACCAATAATTGATGTAAACAACATTTGATGCTGATCGCTTGCCTTCCTTCCACTTCCTGGTTTAGCACTCGTTTTTTCTACTTCGTGCCACTACCCTGTGCTTCTTAAACTGTCTCACATGAGGAACTATGTATTTCTCCGCACAGCCCCCGCCCATTCAACGCGGCACGCCCCTTGAACGACAAAACATTCAACCCTTCATTTCATATGACCATAGCAAGGCCACATTGAATGTTACTACTTTCATTTTCTACATTATCAACTGCCTACTTTATAAGCTCTTACTCACCGCTGCCACAGCCCATCCTCCAGTTGCTGTGAAACGTGCTGCGGCCACTGCCAGTACGCAAGCCGCTATGAAGAAGAAGATGGTCCATGCGAAGCAGAAGCACATCTCCTGGAAAAGATGGACTCAGACCGAGAATTAAAAACACATAATTATCAAAAGTTTTCTATTAACCTAAACAAACATTAAATTGCAATAAGCAAATTTATTCCTCATTTCATCAATCACATCCCTAGATCCCAATGAACTTTCAAGCATGGAATGAATACTAGGTTATTTTTGAACAGAAACAATCGAAACATTGATTCAGACACAGTCTCTCCTTTTTACCAATATCAACTCGACGATCAACAAGTGAGAGCCACTCAATGACCATTTCTTTCATCCACAACTTAGAATAGAGGCATAATGCACGGCTCACTCTATTCGAATTAAATGTTCATTCAGTCTAAAATCTCGGACAGTTTCTAAGAATATGAAAACATACCCCAACTATCCAAGGAACTTGAGGAAGAGCATCAACCACTCTGAACAGGTACAGGAACAGTAGCGTAGTGCTCACACAGAGACCCACAGATGAGACAAAAGTCGCCCATCCGGCGCCTAAAGTCTTAACTGAACACAAACAATAGCCCAATTATGCTGAGGAAGTTTGAAAAAAATACAAAAAAAATCTAAGAGAATAGTCAAAAATCAGATGAGGTTACGATTATAAAGAGATTGTTAGAACTTTGGGAAAAAGAATCAAGCAAACGTCTGAAGTCAGCATCAATGTCATAAAATATACGTTGATTCAAATGCAACGAGTATAAATGGGATGCGGCTCGGTTCTCAGGAGTCCCGAGAGCGCTTGACTTACTGAACTGAAAAGGTCTATCGGTAACAGATCTCTTCGGTTCAGTAATCGAGTGCTGACTGGTATATAGAGCACGACGGTCCCAGAAACCCCACAAAAATGGTACAGCTTGATGACTAAAGTTGATCTCCCATTACTCTGATTGTTTAAAAGGTTGCGGCGGTGGTGAAGTGGCTAAGAGCGTCGTGGTGTGCCTGATCCGAATCCCGCTTCTTCAGGACCTAGAGATTAGCGCTGAACTGATCCTTATAAATTGAACTAGGATTATATAATAATGCTGGATAGGAACCGGCAATGGTATGGTAGCATTTCGAAAATACTTTTTAAACGTTGTTCTAGACAGAAGTAATACGCAAGGCGTATCTGCAAAAGGTCATTCAAGTACAATGCACAATATCAATCCAGACATAGATGCTGACTTCCCGTTGTTGGAAATGAGATGATGGACAACCTTTTTCTAGCACAGTCATCCTTTCCCTCTCTTTCCATGTCCTGGGGCGAAGCTCAGGGTCGTCTACAATAAAACCAAACTCATGCTATGTTACCATATGGATACACATGTGAATAAGCCATGAATGGTATCATTGACAGGAATGAAGCTTTGGTTAGAATTTAAGAGCACTTAAATCGAAAGGCGAAAAGCAGATGATCGCTTAAATTAGGTTTCTGGAGCACTGAATTTGGCCGGGTCGGAAATGATGATCAATCATTTTTTATCACGAAAGATGAATAGTCAGTGGAAAGCAAAAATCCAGGTAACAGCGTTAGTTTGCTAACAAAAAATACGGAATATCGCTCCGAAAACTGCCCTTTCTCTCAAAGATTCGTAAGGTAGCAGTAATACTACACAGAGAAAAAGTGGAGGTGGTGTGGCGGGAATCGGTTCCGCTATTCCGTGCATGCATCGGAATCAAAGTTCAGATCAGAGCTTAACTAGAACAAGCCTTTCATTCTTACGTTTCAATAAATTTACTCCATGCTTAATTTACTAATGCTTAATTTACTCTTTGGAAACATTTTTGTTCTGTAGAACGGCCCCAGTGGTTGTAGGAGCCGAACACGTACTCGAACATTTTACAGTTGTTCCGCAACTGAATTGAATGGGCAACTACAACGCGAAGAAGCGAATTAGAAAGAAAGTGGGCACCCGAGTAATGATCCGTCCAGGTTCTGTCCATGACGAATTTCAACCTCACTCGTCACTATGGATCCTCCCTCCTTATGTTAGCCACATAACTGACTTGATATAAATCATCTACTTGGACATTTGATTTCGGGAAACAGACTCAAGCATCCCTTTATGATTCTTGCAGCTTTACTGCTCCTATTCATATGCCCTGTAACTAAGAGGATGCTAATTACATGCAGTTCTTTAACAAAAAAAACCCGCAGAAGCTTCAGATATGCGAACAGTAGACTCCTTTGAGAAGTAATTACAAATGCAAAGGAAACCGGAATGTTAAGAAGAATAACTGCCTTAAAAAACAAATGGTACATAGGGTATGAAGGAAAGGATGAGGAGCAAGGAGGGAAGGAAAAAAAGAAGAGATTAAGCGTATGACAACAGGAACCAGTAAAGTATGGACCAGAAAAAGGGAGAATGGTGTACATACCGCTGTAATAGCCGGGTCCACCGATCAGAACGCATAAGAAGCACAGCAGGCACAATGCGATACAGACACATTTCATTATTCCACCCAATGTTCGTACATATGAGAAATCGACGTTTGGCCCCGTCATCTGTTCAAAAAAATATAAATTTATAATAAAATAACNGGGTCCACCGATCAGAACGCATAAGAAGCACAGCAGGCACAATGCGATACAGACACATTTCATTATTCCACCCAATGTTCGTACATATGAGAAATCGACGTTTGGCCCTGTCACCTATTCAAAAAATATAAATTTATAATAAAATAACGATCAATCCGAATGAATCAGTAAACAATCACTATTAAGTAAATAAAATAAATATCCGTCCCCGACGATTCGAATAGGAATAAATACCCTTTTCAAGGAAATCATGTGACAAGCCACAAATTTTAGCTACTCCTAAACAAAATAAGAGTATTAAGGGAATTATTATATGGGAAGCGTGAAACGGAAATATTTTAGGGATCTGAAGGAAACTTTTTCACTGAAGTTAAGAAGTTTTCTATCATGGGAGAACTATGGGAAAGAAGTCAAGAAATAAGAAAATTTACTTTGAATGCATACAAGCCACAAACATATAACTGTTTATAAATAAAATAAAAAGCAAGTAAGGATTTATTAGTAGTGAAAAAAAATGGGAAAAAATCGTTTGATAAAAAATAGGAGTTCAAAAAGAAGTTTTTTGAGTAACAAAGGTGAAGGACTGTATTAAGACAAATAATCAAAAAATTCATTAAGTACAAAGGTAACAATATAAAAATAACAATTAAACAAACACCCATACTACTAGGCTGTAATTAATTATAACAGTGAATAGAGTCAACAATAATTGTAGTAATAATAACAATAACAATAATAAAAATAAATAGTGTTCAAAAAATAAGTGAATTGTATAAGTAGTGAATAAGGATTGTAACAAAGACTGTAACTATCAAAAATAAAACAAATAAATTGTTCTCAAAGAATTCCAATTCACAATAGTACAGAATGGATGATATTTAGGATCTCATGAATTGAGTTTATCTAGATGCAGAAAAACCTGCTCGCATGAAAAAGTGCTTTTTGAAAATTTTTAGATCCCATCTCTGAAATCAACAATATGCGTCCCTTCCGAGTTGTTTCGGTTTTCGACTTCCGATCAAAAGAAACGACGGCAGCCGGCAAAAAAGCACGATTTACATCTATGAATGTGACCTAATCTTAGGTTACTGTTACAGCTTGCACCCAATCTTGTCAAGTTGATTCGTCTACTGTTTTTCTGAAACAGCTTCACTACCTGAATTACGAAATTACCTTAAAAATGTACCTACATCCCAGAACTACCGTAATCCGCAATAGGAAACATTTCTGTGTCCGATTTGTAAATTCTAATCGACTAAACGATGGCAACCGCAAAAAACAAACGAAAAACTCGGAATACATAAATGTAGAAAACTGAATTTGTGTAATTGTAGCAGCCTGCACTTTGACTGTAAAATTAATTTGACTACTGTTTCCCTGATACAAGTTCATTACTCGAATTGTAAAATTAGTTGCACAGTTCATTACATCAAAAACTTCCACTTACTGGAATTCGAAACATTTCAATTAGAAATTAAACGGCTAACGTACCGCGTAGGTTGGCGAATCCGATGGCGACATATATTCCGTTGTTTCAACCACCGTTGTGGTTGTCGTATATCGAGGTTCATTCATATTTATTTAGGATCTGAAAATATAAAGTCGAACTCTGGCAGTAACTTTTAATTGGTTATTAATTAATCCTGATGGAAAATCGATAAGAGATGCAATAGCAGTATTCGTAAATCAGAACTTCAAACAATTTGTTACACTTAGGCGCAGCTGGCTTTAAAGCATGAACCGAGAAGAAAATTGATGTAAAGGAAATAATCAATGAAAAAACCAATCAGAACTGAAAAAGGCGAAAAAATTTGTTTTTGCATAGGAATTAATTGAGCTGAACGTTCTGGCAAAGAAACATAGGGAGATAATTCGAATTCGATCAGGACATTTCTACAAAACATGTGCTGGAATAAGAAATATTGAAATGGTAATCCATACATGCTCAGTAAACGGTGCAACGAAAACCTCGATCAGTCAGCTCCGCCCATCGAAATTTGATGGGAGGAGTTGGCTAATATTGACCTTTCACTGCACCGTTTAAAGACCGTATTTCATCGTGATTTCGCCAATTAAGGATTCCACAGAGGCAAATGTACCCTTCTATGGGCACATCTTCTAATGGACTGCACCTTCGAACACGTCTCATAATAAGGAAGATGTTCAGTCAGACGTACTTCCATAGTTGCACTGAGGTAATTTGATAAATGTTCAGCAAGCGCGTAAGCACATACCTCGCAAGGACATTAACGCTTCAATAGATAGAACTTTAAAAACCCCAACGAAATTCCTGAAAAAGAGTCTGCAATCGGTTGCCCATGCAACTTACCGTCCTGATCTCTCGCTTTTTCTGCTACCAGCAATATTTACTGGGTTTTAAACGTTCCGACGATGACAAATATCTTAGAAAGACGGTTGAATTCTCAAATTAGCATTTGCTCGGTTTCTCAAAAAATAAAGACATCGAAGAGCTGCTCAACAGATGTGCGGAGGTCACTACCATCCAAGGCGACTATATAACTGATTGATATTACGGTCATAAAAATAGGACCATAAAAAATATCAATATAATTCTGTGAACAGAAATCTTGAAGCAATCTATGATGTTGCAGCCATCTTTCGACATAAGAAAGTTGGAAATGCATATAAATTTGTCCCATTGTTCGTCAAATCGGTCCCCCCGGGGGTGTTCGCTATGAACGAGCAGATGGGATTGTGGGATATGTGAAAAACGAATAATTCCAATGAAGCTAATGGCTTTGCAGCAGGACGGAAATGAGGAATAGTTAAGATTAAGCTAAAGTCTCCGGTGTGATCCACATGTTTTAACGATGCGCCCCCGCATTCGACTTCCATTCGAAATCGTAGTGGCGATTTGAATAGGTATGTGGCCTATAGAATGAATTGCAATGAGCATTCGATGTAAAAGTCGCTGATTTTATCCTGGCAAAAATAGGGGTTTGGTTGGCCTAGACGACTGCCGATCCGGGATTGGAATCCATGACCATACGTCTGTGAAGAGCGTCACTTACCACTATACCACCAAATGAGAAGTTACTTTGAAATAACGTAAACGTAGAAAAAATAGAAATAATCATGCAGGACACCACTTTGATAAGGAGGAGGAGAATACTCTCAAATGAGTTCGGATTTACTAATTGCGTAGGATAGCGTGAAGGTCTCCGATCTCCTGGGTTTCAAGAGGAGAGACCGAGTATTGTAGACCATTCAGACCAACTCAATCTTCCTTTCCCGGTGACCAGTTGTTCCCGGACTGGCTTGGAAGCAAGTGGTCTATTAAAATACCTTGAATCCTCGGAGTTCTTGAAAGGTAGAAGGAACATACGTTTACAATCAAGGAAAGCCAGAAGTTCGAAGTGGAATTCAAGCGTCTCCGACAAAAATCAATACTCACTAAAATAACAACAAAAGAACGCCCCTAAAAAGGAACTCGTAGCCTCGCCACAAAATTATCATCAATGGAACAAAGGATGAACAGGAGTGAAAGAAAAGCGACAAAAATTGAGTGCTAGAAATTCAATTTAAGGACTGCTGAGGCTTCAAATACACTCAGGCTGAAGTCACTCGTTACAAGGAACTTCATTTTATAGCGGATCAACCGACTATAGAACAAAGGACGTTGCCCGTCTTGATCAGTATCCTTGGAATGCGCCATGCATTCGGCTGGCTTCGGCCTTTGTGGAAAAAATGGCGAGACTATCAAAAGACTCAGTCATTACTTCGATGGATTGAATTGCTTACTCTGTCTCGTCGTTTATTTCAACGTCTTCGTTCTATTGAATCAGTCTTGTGCTAAAGGTCAAATGAGAAAGAATGGAAAGCTGATTATCTCGTATGGGATCGATTCTCTGTCGAGGGCGAGGTACTTCTTCGGGTACACGCCCCTCTCCCAGGTGTACCGATTTCAAGGTCGCTATTGACCACATTGAAGCGGAAATCAGAAAACTCCTCAAACTCTGTCAACCATCAACGAGTAGTTAACTTCTAGAGATCGAGCTATCACGACATAATATTACGAAGCGAGCGTTCGATTAAGCTAGGCAATCCTTCTCTTGGAGCTCGGCAAAAAGAGGCTATGGAACCTGGCTGGCAAAGTAAAAATGTCGAATCGAAGGTCGTCAGGATGTTGCAGACCTCTATTGAGTGCTGCCACGATGTTGAGTGAAAATCAAGTGCATGGCGCATGCCAGAGGCCGACATTGAGTTCTCAAACTTGCTATCTTGAATAAAACGGACGTAATGAATGAATATCAATCCAAGAAATGCTTCCACATCAATTCATAACACAGGCGGAATAGACTACTGTAGTCGAATCGATACGAACAGAGACTACTCTTCCGAGCAGCTGCCGACGTTTTGCAAAGCAGTCATCCGCGTCTACGGACGGACGAGAACTGTCTCGTCCGAAGAAATGAGTAAGCGGATGATTCAATTGTCAAGAAACGGCGGCAACAAATTGAATGTACTTTTTCCGATAGCCTCAAAAAAACCTTGAAAACAAAAGGAAAGTGCAATGGCTTAGCAAACTTTGAGGAAATCGGGGAAATCGTCCGGGCTACAGGCAGAATGGTGCACGCTAACGAGATAATCGGATAAAAAAAATAGGTATCAAGACCCATGGAGATCCTATCAGCCACGTTCTCAGAATGCGCCACACAATCGCTTCTTTTTCAAAACCGGAGTGAAATCCAACTTGAGAAGCTATGCGATTACTTTCAAACTAATCTCTTGAACTAGTTGAGGTGTTCATGATCCTGGAAGTGTTGGAAACTAATCGGGCTCTCGGGAGGGACGAATAGTTCCGCCAATCTGGGAACGATTCCATCTTAGGACTATTCACGTGCAATACCGCCTCTCTCCATCGGCACACCCACCCTGTCGTGTTGTTTTTCCAGCATAGGGTAAAAATGTAAGCTATTGATAATCTTTGGTAACCCATTTCTCGGTATGCCTGCACACTTAGATAGGTAAACATTTCAAGCTGATGACTGTATTGACTTCTGAGGGCGATTGTTAGCATTCTTGAACAACCTTGATCATGGGTTAGGGATTATACCACCTAGATATAACACAAATGTAGGCCTAAAAATAAAGTAGGAAAAAAGGAATACGGGTTGCTTAGTTGGAAGCTACTTCGGGTATGTACTAGAGCATAAGAATACTTTCTGAGATTCAAAAATCAAAGAGCTCTGCGGCGCTGAAGGCGGAACTTCAACAAAATTGTCAAAAAAGCTTTTCTCAGGAACGAACTTGGTATTAGTAGAAATGTTGAGTTCACACGATGTTCTTTGCTACTGCCTTAAGGCCCTAATTAAGCTGTCACTGCATCTCAGTGGCATTCTTTCCGATGTCAATCCCCAATCAGTGGGTGGCATTCTACATATTCTACTAAGATGTACTGCAAGACTTGAACTTCCCGAACTCTTCCCCGTATAACTTTCGATTTTTAGACAATTCGTTTTTCAAGAACTCGACTAAAGAGCGATATTCAAAAATAACACTCCTCAATGGTTTATGTACAACAAGTGAACATTATATAAGCCATTAACCGAGTGAAATATGAGAATATTTCAAGTGGTTCAAAGCAAGGGTAACATTTTCATGCTTGAAATCTATACGCTCTCAACGAGGCTTCAAAATGCAACTGTCCAAAGAGTAGAGGCAACAGAATCGGTCATGCTCATATCTTGGGATTACTCTGAAAAAATTCTTTTCCAAGTGGAATCCAAAAGAAGCTGAATGATCCTAGCTTGGAACGATGAATCGTTGAAATAACCTGCTGCCTACAATGTTTTGTTTAAAAAAAATATCGGGGCCTACTAGATATCGGATACACTCAGATGACTTAAGTCTTGGAAAACAAATAAACAAGCGAGTGGATAAGTAAGGAAAATGGTCCTGAGGGCCCAAATAAGCACAAAGAGAATGCCCGATGATGCAGCAATGTAATCACTAGCATATCGAACAATACGAGGTGAGACATAGAGGTATTCATACGATTCCTAGCATTCCTTTGCCAATCATTCTTACCCCTGCGCCTACAGGCGGGGCTCCTTTGAGGGGTCTGCCACTCAGCTGTCCAGAAATCAAAGCATTTTCTGTGACAGCACCGTCTCTCTTTTTTTGTCGCCCTTTTCTCTGAGTTGGCAAAACTTCTCATCATTTGTCACGATTGCATTGTGAAGCAAAAATTCCAAAAAGGGGAATCGGGCTGGCAAAGTCGCAAGGGTATGTGATCTGCTTCACTTCACAATTGGGGGCAAATCCAAGAAAAGTCGGAGTCAAAANTTGGCAAAACTTCTCATCAATTGTCACGATTGCATCATTGTGATGCAAAAATTCCAGAAAGGGTAATCGGCCTGGCAATGTCGCAAGGGTAGGTGATCTGCTTCGCACCACAATTGGGGGTAAATCCAAAAAAAGTCAGAGTCAAAACGTAATTATTAGGGGGAAAATCGACCTTCAGAAACGCCTGTTCATCCAGTCATGCTAACAGATAACCACAAAGGTTTCAAATGGGCAACAAAAGCATGGCACATTCTCAACTCTCCAACCCGGACCCAATTCCCATGTTTTTAGATCCTTTCATAGTCCCTTTTACGCAGAAACACCTCCGAAAATGAAAAATGTATGAAAAAAAGTGGCTGATGAATACTTCCAACCATCGACGGTTGAACTAAGTCCCTCTACTGACCGAAATTGCAAGCATAGGTAACCCCAAGCAAACAAATTAGCCACAGCATAAAATAACACAATTCTATGGCACATAATTATTATTGACTAACTTTAATAAATATTAACGACGTACTATTTAATATCATACTAATATACTGATGTACTGTGTGAAAGGATAAATAGACAAAGTTCTCTGCGTGTACTCAGTGCTGATTACGAAAACGATTAAAGTTACTAAGTTTTTTTACTGAATAACTAGACAAAGTTCCTGGGTGTACTCATTGCTGATTACAAAAAGGATTAAAGTTATTAAGTTTTCTACTGAATAAGTTAATTATTATGACATTAAATATTACTTGGTAAGTAATAATTAGAGTGACAACTCCCATCAAATAGTGCCGGGTAAGTAAGGTTAAAGTGGTAGAAAGTAATATAATATCAACATTAATGACTACTACTACTCACCGTTATCCAATGTAAGTATAATATAATAGTAGTAACAAACGAAGTTAGCTCTAACCGCCTTAATTATTCCTCAACATAAACTATAATCATGACAGCAATTAAACAATATCAAGCAATACCACAGAAATAATAACATCTGAATTCCTCTCTTGAACAATAAGAATTTGAGTTAGAATTACTCGTCACTGCTTCAATTACCATTAACTAAATACTGTCTGGTTGTCCAATTAACTTTTTCTACGAAAATAAACGAATTTAACAGAGCACTGCGAGGAGACACATGCGAACATTAACAACTTGGCCGGCGAGACCCACGCCACCTCCCCTCCCACCCATCTTCTCCCTGCGGGGTTTACAACACGATCTCCTGCTGCCTCGACAAGCAACTGAGCATCAACTGATTTTACCAGACGAAGGGAAAGACAACCAGGGTCAGGGTTATCCGTGTTATTTTATAATTACTACTAGAATTGATCCATTTCATCTGAAGAGTACCACCAACTCTATCATATTGAGTGTAAATGGAATTTAGAAAAAATGGTTGCACTGGAAATTCCTACGTAGTCAGTGATGAGGGTAGAGAGGGGCTACTAAAGGGTACGCAAGAAAGATAAAACGAAATAAAGGGTAGTTGCTTGATATTTTTACTAGTTAGGATACATCTGCCGATTTGTGAATCGGCTCTGGTTTAAACCAGCGACGACGCAATCGAAACTTTAGAATTGCTTCAAACAATAACAGGCCAAGAAAGAAGGACAAATAAAAAATATTTTTAGAAGTTTGGACGAACTCTGACAGGCAGCTCTTATGCAAAGTATACAATCAAATATTTGCATTATTGCGAATAAAAATTGAATGCAAGCACATCTAAGGGAGTAACAACATGAAAACAACAAGACCTACTCCATTAGCAAATCCGTTAGCAAGATATTAGATCGATTACAAATGACGATAAAAGAAATCACCTTTAAATTAAAGAAAAACAATGATTCTAATTGATCCATTCATCCAACGAATGTTCAGGCAAAATTAGCCTGCTAGTCAACTGGTGCATGGAACCTTGAACTTTTAATGACCATTACTTGCAATTAATAAGTAACTTCGACCACAGTCATATGTCATTTCCGAAAACAAAAACCAATAGCGCTCAGTTTAAACTAGTTTTCCAGTAGGATTTCTCAGACTCCTTATCTTCATCAGGGACATGGATCACTCAATGCCCATCGATCACAACATTTCATTAGACACAAGAATAAAAAAGGAGGGAGACTGATTCCATCCCTTGCCTCTAATATTAGATTGAGGATGGATATGTAGCTGTTGAAGAGGTGCTCTCCTGCTCTAGAACACGAAATGGACACTTTTGCTAAGTTAATCCGTCAAATTTCCCAATCTAGGCAGATCGGACGAGAGCTTTCATGGAGGGACAAAGAAATCAGGTCAAAATCCTACTGTCAATCAAGTTCTCATTTAGGATGAGCATCAGTTCAAAGTGGAGCGGCATGGTGGCAAGATGCGCTCTAACATATACCTTTTCAAGGATAGGATCTTTAGTACTTCTTTTCTTGTTTATTGGATACGAAAACAAAGCTCACGTGGAGAGGCTCAATCGTTTAGAGCCAACTCAGGACCCTCAGGCCCAGAAAGCCATTTACAAAATCAACTTAGGCGGATTACCATTTTCAGCCCGATACTTCTTTGGCCACAATGTTCGAGGAGGGGTCCACTGTGATAAACTCCGCTAGTACGCTACTCTCCGCCTTGCTGAGAAAAACTTTTGATAAGATATTCAACCAGTTGTAACTACTAAACAACTAAACATTGTTGTCTCACTATTGCCATTATTACACCCGCGAAACCCTCATAGTGGTCCTGTCTGCAGTCGAGACCTCGCCCACGAAGAAAAGCGACCTAAATTGATTCACCAGATCGAAGAAGGGAATAAAAACGATTGTTTTTAACATATGTAAATAAAACACTACACCTATTGAGCATTTGTTCTGAATTGTTCTTTGAACTGCCATTTAGATCCACCTGAGAGCAGAACTTTGCACAAAAAAATGCTTGAAGGGAAAACATGGGAATTGGGTATGAGTACGGATAAAAATTGCAGCAAATAACGAGCGAAAAAAGAAACGAAACTGGCAGAACATGAACGTCGTCCAGCGTCTGAGCAAACAATGGCTAAGTGAATTTCAAAGGTGTTCGGTGCGCGACGACTTTCCAACTAATCGTGTGGGTCCAGCTCTTCATCGCCAGGCGCTAACATCCTCGGCGCTCTTCGCGCAACCCACACTATTGTGTCACTCATTGAGAAGGTGTAACCGAAGGCGCTGAAGCACTGACCACGACCGAAAATGAAATGACCAAGGTCCACTTACCATGAGTCACACGAAATGGACCGGTCTCAAAAGGTAGACGCTACATATCGGCAGACATGAACACATAAGAAAGTGGTAGGTATTTTATGCTTCCTGTTTCCCAGTAAGTAGCTCGTTTGAAAATTTACAAGCTACATATTTATTTACGACCATATTATACCCTTCCCATGTCAAACCAGAGAAAGATTTTCTATTTTCCTTCCTATTCAGCAAATGAGACTGCTGCATTTTGTTAATAGTCTTGTTGCTATTCAGTGCGAGAACACTGAACAACTAATTAGATGCTATTTACAGCCGTCTTTTACTTACTACGAACCCGCCTACCTGAAAAAAGCTTTTAAAGGTTTTCTTATCTATTTTTTCTTTTTTCTTATCTCATTTACAACACCCACAAAAGAACATAATAAATGAATACACGCCTATTCATAGCCTTCTACCCATTCTTAGTAAACAGTCAAGAAAACAAAACCCCATTGGAGCAACTAATACCCTGTTCAAAGTTGTCAAAATTTGTTTTATTAAACGTGAAATTTTTTTCAGAGCTTTCGCAGTAAGTATGTGACTGGATAATTCTCAAAAAACCCTTCAAAAAAACAAATACGTTGAATAATATTAAAAACTTTACCGTCTACTCCATTGTGCAGGGCTGGTGCAAGTAGATGCCGCTATGTTTCCTACTGAGGAACCGCCGACCCTGCCTTCTACTGACCACCATCTTTGAAATAGAGTCCTTTCAAAGGAAAAATTAATAAAAAATGATGATAACGCGTTCCTTCTCACCATAGGTGTCCTTTTCACGGCCAGTTTCCTAACGTCATCTCCTTCAAATGCTGTAGCAGTTGTTAGTGTCAAGGGAACCTCAACATAGGAACGTACAAGCAAGCAGAGATAGATAATAGTAAAAAATAGAAACTCACCAAAATATTTCAGAAACCTTGGGGCATGCGCCATCATTCTCCCACAGGTCCAGATACAGCAGAGAACATCTCACAACAAACGTGCCCCGTGGGCAATCCCGTAATCCGCATCACGACATACGACATTCTGCAGACGTTACATTCTTTTGAAAAAAACTACGGCTAATTTTGATTCTTGATTAGAAACAAGGCTTATTTCGGGAACCAGGTGCTCGAGCCGCATTCTGTTGTGCCTGAATAGATGCGCATTCAGTTGTTATTGGTAAAAAGCCGATTTTTTTCGCCGTCCACCCATTAATGCTAGTAATTATGTGTTTGGAATGAATAAATTAGCTTGATTAATAGCTTTAGTGTCTATGGCGCAATCATTCACTCGTGCTGAACGCTCTGGTAATATATTTTATCGAGTCACCGGTTTAATCCGATCCGGTCAAATGAAATGGTCCGATAGACCATTGTGGTGAGTCGATTGCGTCATTCTGATGCCATTATTCCCAATGTGATGAATAGCTATGAAAAGTAGGACAGCCAAACCTAATGCTATTCCGAAATCTTGAAGTTTTCATAGTTAACTGTAGATCGTGTTTTTATTTAGTTCAGATTTTGTAACACGTGATAAAGAACTATTGTCGAGCTTAAGGTACGATATTTACGTCACACATCCTCCATTAGACGCCCATGATTGGAACACGAAACATGCAAAATATGACGAACCAGTGAGTTATAGTTTTTTGTTTTTTAAATTACCTTGATTTCCTTTATTTAATCACTTCCGCAAAGCTTATTACATTGTAATGAGGATGATCTCAGATTATGAGTTACCAATGATGATTAAGTGTCTGAATTCAAAATTGCTGAGGTTTATTTTTTGCCTGCTTCTTCTTAAAGAAAAGCCCCGAATTTTCTGACAATAATGAATATCAATTGCTACTCGTTGAAATATTGTTTCTTTTTCGCTCCCATCTGTGCCACTCCCGTCATTTTTTTTTGAAATCGCCGCTTTCAAGGTGCGCAAAATCTTCTATGATGAAGACCTGGTTCGAGCTGCTTTCTACAAAAAGTATCGAGGGGGTGTGATGAATCTGGAAAGCCCTCGAGAAAGCCTTTCCCAACAGTTCATCAAGGAATACGAAACTGTTAAAAATGAATTTGCGGGTAAAACTTTTTTTGAAATTTGTTTGTAGCTAAGGTTTTTCCGTACAGAAGTTTCTTTCGATCATTTCTTCCACAGTACAATTCTCGAGGATGTGGCCAATGATCCGTATGATTCGAATTGTTTCTAGGTAAGGAGAGCGTTCCTGAAGAAGAGCTTTTCCGACGGACAGAGGAACGATTGAAGGAAGTCGGCATTCAGTTAAAATAGGATTCATAGGAATAGGATTTTATGAAATAAATGGATTATCACTTTGTTTACCTGTTGTTGAAGAGCATTCTCTACTCATACTTGTCTAAAACATCGACAAATATGCTTTTTTTCCCACATTCATCTTTTTTCCTATGATAGGTGTATTCGTAGGCTAGAGCCTTATAGTTCCAGAAGTACTGTGGAAATGAAGCAGCTGACTGCTAATGAAGTAAGTTCATTTTAACACTCATCTTTAAGGCCGTTTACTACAGTAATTGCTTAGGTTCGTTCGACATTCATCGAGTTTTTCAAACAAAAGAAGGCACACACCTACGTTCATTCATCGTCGGTAATTCCACATGATGACCCAACGCTTCTGTTCGCAAATGCGGGAATGAACCAGGTAACTGTCCTCATAAAGGTCACACTGACTTCTTTAAGCCTTCCTTCCACGTCCTTGCTCTACCTTAATTCACATTTTCAAAGCTTATTGGCTATTGAAAGGTTGAAAATTGCTTGGGAATGCTATGAGTAGATGCACACGAGAAATAATGGGCACGAACCCTCCCTTGTTATGTTTTTTCTTCTTTTCTATCTTGTTTCCATTTACAGTTCAAACCACTATTCCTCGGCATTGCTGATCCCAACAGTGATCTGGCCAAATTGAAACGTGCAGTCAACACCCAGAAATGCATACGTGCTGGTGGAAAGCATAACGATTTGGACGACGTTGGAAAGGATGTCTATCATCATACATTCTTCGAAATGCTTGGGAATTGGTCATTCGGAGATTATTTCAAGGTAACAATTCTTCTACCCCACCTTTCTAGGTACCGAAGTCTTGATTGTGGGGTTTCTTACAGAAGGAGGTCATCACCTGGGCTTGGGAGCTTTTGACGGAAGTCTACGAGATTCCAGCTGATCGCCTTTATGTTTCGTACTTTGGTGGAGATACGAAGAGTGGTATCCCAGCAGACGAGGAGGCAAGAAGCATATGGCTCAGTCTAGGGTTTGTCGTTTTGAGTTCCTTGAAAGGATGGAAACGGTTCGAGTCGCTCTCGATTCAGGCTGCCAGACAATCGAATACTCCCATTTGGAATGAAGGACAACTTCTGGGAAATGGGTGATGTTGGACCGTGTGGGCCTTGCTCGGAAATCCATTTTGATCGGATCGGTGGTCGTGATGCTTCTCATCTGGTCAACGCAGACGACCCGATGGTTGTTGAGATCTGGAATCTGGTCTTTATACAGTTCAATAGGTATAGAACCCTTCTGCTTGTTATAGCTCCATAATTCATCTCACTTTTCTTACATTTTTACATCCCTTTAGTCATTATTTTCTGTGAGGTATACAGTATTTTTCTAGAGAAGAAAGCGGTGATCTCCGTCCTCTCCCTGCAAAACATATCGATTGCGGACTTGGTTTGGAGCGATTGATTGCTGTTATACAAGAAAAGACATCTAATTATGACACTGACATGTTCCAACCTATCTTCAAAGCCATCCAAGAAGTAAGTGTCATTACCCATTCTTGCTCGTAGGCCTGTCCAACGTGGCCATGAGCTTAAAATGTTTCTTGGTGTCTTCGCTCACACTCAGCAGTAACTTTACAGTCCCGTTACACAGCTTTGTCATTATTCAGGGAACCGGAACACGGCCTTATACCGGTAAAGTGGGAGCCGATGATGTTGACGGCATTGATATGGCTTACCGTGTTGTGGCTGACCACATTCGAACCCTGACAATTGCACTGTCCGATGGAGGTCGTCCTGACAATACTGGGAGAGGGTATGTCTGAGGATTGTATCGATGATAGCTCTTTATCTTCGTTTTCTTCTCAGATACGTATTGCGCCGTGTCCTTCGGAGAGGTGTTCGTTATGCAACGGAGAAGCTCAATGCTCAACCTGAGTTCTTCGCTTCTTTAGTACCGGTTGTGATAGAGATTTTAGTAAGCAATTCGTCCAAATTTTAAAGGTTTCAATTGTCATGCTTATTTCCATGGAGCCACCAATATCTGATTTAGGGTGATACATTCCCGGAGCTACGCCGTGATCCCGAAACAGTTCGTGATATTATAAATGATGAGGAGCAGCAGTTCTTAAAAACTTTAGTCCGTGGCCGAAGACTATTCCAACGCGCCGTGGCAGGGCTAGGAACTGATGAGAAGACGTTCCCTGGTCAGTCTAACCCGTTAAAACACTTCTTTTTGGCTAGTGCTACTTTTTAGGTGATGTGGCCTGGCGTTTATACGATACCTATGGATTTCCTGCTGACCTCACTCAACTGATGGCAGAAGAGAAAGGGCTGACCGTCGATCAAAAGGCTTTCGAGGACTGCAGGAAGAAGGCAGTGGTATGTTATTATAATAATCCATATTCGAAAGGAATCTTAGAGGAAAGATTCGTGAACGCAGACAAAATGACCTAGGACTTACTCACGAGCAAAATTTAAGAACGTTCTCGAAATGCTTGGTCCTACCGTGATTTTATAATTTCACCGAGCTATCTTTTCTAGGAGTTATCAGCTGCTGGAGCTGGGAAGTTCCGTGACACGTTAGACCTGAACGTCCATGCCATTGCTGAGCTCCAAAAGCAATGTATACCAACGACAGACGATTCGTTCAAGTACAGGTACAAGGCTGATGGACCTAAGGATGGAACTGCCAAATACAGTAAGGAGTCTTTAATTATTCTTCATCTCTAAACACCTTGACGTCATGATCTTCAGCTTTCGAAACTTGTACCGGCAAGATTCTTGCCATCCGTCATGACGGTAAATTCGTCGACTCCATAGAAGCCGGTGTTGAGGGTGCATTGATATTGGATAAAACGAATTTCTATGCCGAGCAAGGTGGACAAATCTATGACACGGGAGTCTTGACTGCTACGGCTGATGAGGTTTTCCTTACAAAATCTGTTTTGAACCTTTATCAGTTTGCAGTCGCTTCGCCTATTTCTTGGTTACCTTAGTCGTGAATCCTGATTGCAGGGAACGGAATTCATCGTCACAAACTGTCAAGTTCGTGGCGGATATGTAGTCCTCGTTGGTTCAACGAATGGTGTGCTGAGAGTAGGAGACAGTGTAGAGCAAATGTTCGATGGAGTAAGTAGTCGAATTTCCTCAGGACTCAGTTTTGATATTGTAACTTGTACGCTTAGGAACGCCGTGCACTTATTATGAAAAATCACACTGCAACCCACGTGCTGAATCACGCTCTTCGTTGTGTGTTGACTGATTCCGATCAAAAGGGATCATTGGTAGCTCCGGACCGGCTTCGATTTGATTTCACCAACAAACAGGCGATGACAGTCAAGCAGGTAAACTGCTATTTGTTTGTTAAGCTGACCAAAGACATATTCCTGAAACTCAGGTGAAAGAAGCTGAGGAAATTGTGCAATCAATCATAAACACCCGAGAACCAGTTTACGCAAAAGAAGCTCCGCTACCTCAGGCCCGTGAAATATCCGGATTGAGAGCAATGTTCGATGAGGTATGTTTCCTTTCAATATCACACCGGAGAGCTTTACAATCCTTGGGTTTTTAGAATTATCCTGATCCAGTTAGAGTGGTATGCGTTGGAGTACCAGTAGAAGAACTTCTGGCAAATCCGAAAAGTGGTGCCGGTTTGAAGACAACGGTGGAATTCTGTGGAGGAACGTAAGTTTCCACTTCCGCTTGAATGAAGACAGCTAGAAAAGCCATGTTATGGTTGTATAGACATCTCCACAACGTCGGACATATCGGACATATGGTAATCTCATCCGAGGAAGCCATTGCCAAAGGAATTCGACGGATTGTAGCTTTGTCGGGACCAGAAGCTGAAAGAGCTATTCATCGAGCAGATAGACTGGCAGCGAGGGTTAAGGTTCGTGGTCAGGATTTTGCACTTCGACTTTTTTGAACATCTTTTTCTTTTTCTTTTTTTACAATATCTTTTAAACATCATTTAAATCTTTTTTGTTTTCAACTTTCCTAGTTTTCCCAATTTTTATCGATTTATGCTCACCGTGGAATATTAGATAGCTTTTCGTTATCGAAGAGATTCGGATGCTTGAGTTCGATTCGAATTAGTTCCAGTTTTCTCGTTGATCCATGGCATTCATGCATTATCTGAAGCCTTTTCATTTTTCAAGTTTGATTTCCAAATGAAACCTCTTATGATTCATAGCCTTTCTAGTTTTCAGGCCATATCAGAAGAGATCTCGGCAAATAAAAACATAGCCATGGACTCTGAAAAGTTCAAGGCAAAATCCAAACAAGTCCAGGAGCTGATTGATGTAAGAAAGCGTTCATTTTTGTGCTGATCCCTATCTTCTAAGGATATAGTCGTACGTTCTCATCTAGGAAGTTAATGCTGCACAGTTACCATACTGGCGCAAGGATGAGATCCGAGATCAAGGAAAAGCTGCTCAGAGAACGTTAGATGGTTACAAGAAGCAAGCTGATGCAGCTGTTGCTGACAAAGTAAGTTTCCACATTTCCATTTTATTTCTTATTAAATTCAGAGAACTTTTTCAGCCAGATATACGGATTTTTGCGAGCTTTAGATTTTTCATTGTCAACCTTAGCCTCGACTATGATTTAGATTCTTTCCGAAGCCAAAGAACTTGCTCAGAACAGTAACGAAGACGTAGTCGTACACGTATTTGCTCCTGGAGCCAGCAGTAAGGTGCTTTTTGTGTTCTAGCGCTATGAATTATTTAGGCACTTGATTGTTAGAATTTATCTATTTTTGTACATTGCTCTGAAATGTTGTACTATATTCGACTGCTCATGGTAATACAGGCGCTTGACAATGCTTTGAAACAACTGAAAAGCACAAAAGCTGTTATGGGATTCTCTGTCAATGAGGATAGTGGAAAAGTGCTTGTACTGGCTAAGGTGGACAAAGTGAGTTGTCAGGTTTTTTCTAGAGCTTAGGTTCTATTAAATTTTGAAGTTTCTTTCAGTCTCTTGTGGATGGTGGCTTGAAAGCGAATCTTTGGGTAAACGAGGTGTGCACGGTTCTCGGCGGTCGAGGTGGAGGAAAAGATGCCAATGCCCAGGTAATCAGGCGGTCACATTGATTTCATACCGTATAACCTGAGTAGTGGGGTTTGGAAAGACTCGAGGAGTCTGAACTTGCTCTCTGCGGAAGGTGGTGGAGGAGGAGGGTTGGTTATACTGAGACCTAATTACTGAAAACTGCACCATCATGTTCCACCCTATAAAACCAGTTCTCTAGAACCTTTTTACCTGTCCCTCTCTTGACCCGAACCTAAAGCTAATCACCATTGACCTTCAATGTAATACTTCAGGCAACTTGTGAAAATGTCGACCGATTAGACGAAGCAGTTGAACTGGCATTGAAATTTGCTCAAACCACGATCGCATAATGTTCGATGATACCTGGCAAGATATTGATCATCCCACTAGGAAGAGAATGGCCTTTTTCGGACTAAGGTCTGCCCATCTCTTTATTCATCATTTTTACACGTCATTGTTGGTATGCGCTGTTTTGGTGAACGTTTTTTGTTGAATAATTTATTATCGACTTGTTGCTCTGTTATTTATGGATGCTTGCATTTTGACTTCAAATTTGTTTGGAATGGAAGCCATGTAGCCGTAACGAGGGATGAATTTTCGTTGTACTGGCTTTGTTATTAATTGATTTTCGCATAAAAATGAGTAATCAATGGAAACGGATTACCTCACGTGATAAACAGAAAGAATTCTTCTGAGAACTTCTGTTAGGGCAACAAAGTAGTGAAATAAGGGATAATTATCAGTACTTAGGCATCGTAGTTTCGCATTTTGCTCTTTAATTACTGATCTATTTTTTGAAAAGGATTGTTTTATTGCATTTCCAATGAATTTTTCTAATCTTGTCAGGAATTTCTTACATTCTTTTCATGACCCCAGATCCTTCTAAGAAACACTTGCCATTGAAGGAGTCAGTTGATCGATAAAATCATGATCACCGTAGAAGTTTCATAGTAACTATAACTGCTGAAAACCATGAATGGAGTAGAGGGAGCTGCAAATGGTGCTTATAACTGTACCTAGGTTGTACTAGGTAGAATTCCATGGTATCTTACTTACTGGCTAATGAGAGTACCACTGTAAACTTTGGCAGGCCTAGAATCATTGTATAGACCGGGCACGCATCCAAATGAGCTCACGATTTCGAATCGAAGCAGTAGACATGGCTCGTCTCAGAGGTAGTTGTGCTAGGTCAGGAGATAGCGTGGCAAAAGGGCCGTTTAGCCGTCAGAGTCCATGAAACGGATCTAGTCCAGGCTACCTAAGCTTTCCGGCTCAGGGTAATGGTTGGCTAGCATCAAATAAATAATCCGTTCTTGAATTTCTATCGTCATAGTGAGCGGCTCGGTCCTCACTTCGCCACATTATTGCTGCCATCCCACTCTTTTGTCAGAGGACAGGCATACTTGTATTACCTAAAATAGCGACTCGATATGAATATATGACGGCAAAGATGCACTATTCTGGCTGGCTCCAATGGAATGCGCCACGCATCGATTTCCATTCAAAATTATTGAGGCCTTCAAATGCGTGTTGCCTATTCAGGCTATTAAGGCTTCTAGCCAATACAATAACCAATGCTGATGTTCTCCCAGGGGAACTTGACGGCGGTGTGGATTCCTTACTACATATTCACATATTTATTTGTTTAAATAGGTGTTTTTCATTCACCTTTCGCTTGACTACTTACTCATTTACTTATGCCCTCGCCAGAGTACCCCAGTAATAGATAATAGAGGCCGGTAATTAAAATACATAGTAATTCCAGCCAACTTGCCCGTAATGCTCAAAAAATGGCTAAATACTCAATAGCTGCTCAAGAAAAATGCCAAGCAAAAGTCTTATCTTTCTAGATGGAGCAGGTGTACCGCACAGTTCATCCGTTAGTTATAGACATCGAACGAATACGGTACCTCGGCTGGAGGCGGCGCTTACGATTCTGATCAGATAAGCGATCAAATCTATACCACCGTAACAAAGTTTCTAATTCAACCCCAATTCAATGTTGTGTCGGACCTAACAGTGGTTAAGAAGATGACACCCGTCTCTTCCCACCTGCTTCCACTTTCCACCTTATTTCAATTGCATAGGTGCTCATGGAAATAATAAGATGGGTGGCTTTGCTCGACCAGTGATTATTTACCCTTCGAGCCATCTACCAAAACTGAACCATCTCAAAGCATTGATCCCCGTTCCTCCCGACTACCTCTACACTCAGGCATAGATATCTAAGCCTAGCCTTGGTGATGATTCTTGACGTAGGCTGGAAGGAAATGTGATTGATTGATATGAATGTCGCCACGCCTGTCGAAAGGCTTTCGCCCCTAACCAACACCGTAGATTAATCACCTCATCAAAAGCTCTTCTGAAGCTTCGATGAGTGTGATAAGAACGTTTTTGGGATGAACGTTATGGGGCTAATTTAACCTCTATCTATCACAAACGCGAGCGTCACGCTATCGGTGAAAAATGATACCCGAAAGTGATATCTCAAATCGGCTGCTCTTCAAAAAGAACCAGGGAATCGAAGAAAACAAGAGGAATCTGTTGAAGACACGGTTCACAATTAGAACGAACTTGGCCTTCATAGATGATACTGCCAATGCGAAGTGCCGGATCTTGTGCCACTCTCCCCCCTCACAAAAAAAAACATCCGGTTTTTTTGGACATTCTCCAAAACACACTTCCCT